TAATAATAAATTATATTTTATCATATATTTTATCATATTTTATTATATTTTATCATATTTTAATATATTTTATCTATTTTACCCTAATTTTGGTTTTATTTTCAGTTTTTGGTTTTTAAGAGACTCAACTGAAACCAAACCAAAATATATTCGGTTAATACCAAAATCAAAAAAAAGAACCAAAAATCATTGAAACCGAACTAAATTCATTTTTTTGGTTCGGTTCGGTTAAAAAATGCCCAGCCCTAATTATTTGTATGCCTTTTGATTTTATTATTTTCTAAAGTGATTCGCCTTCAAATGCACCAATATTTAAACATAATTTCCTTTATGCGTTTTAAATATTTAGAATCAATAAAGATAAAATGTTAGATGAGGTGATTTTTTTTACTACTCTTTTTGCTTAATGAATTAGCACATTTTCAGGTTTAAAAACTAAGATAAGTTTACAAGATTAGGGGTACAAAAAGTGCCTTTGAATTTTCAGCTTAACCAAAGTCCTCTTGGTGCTATACATGGCAATAAAGGCTAATACTTCTGTTTTTCATCCTTGTTAAATTTTATCAGTTGATACGTCAAGATAATTTTACCTAAAAATAATCTTAAAATAATCAAGTAATATCCAGAGTGATGTTTATGTAGTGTCAATTTTAAAAATGTTAATACTAAATATTGTCACATGGTATTATAGGACTTCATTATAAAATAAAATTGTACATGTATATATTTTTTTTCAAATTTTAAGTGGTTGTTTAAAAACTAAGATAAGTTTGCAAGACTAGGAGTACAAGAATTGCCTTTGAATTTGAATTTTCGGCTTAAGCAAAGTATTATTGGTGTTATACATGGCAATAAAGGCTACTACTTCTATTTTCCATCCTTGTTAAACTTTGCTAATTGATTTGTACAAATAATTTTTTCTTATAATAGTCTTAAAAATAAGGATAATGATTTATATATCTTCCGATTCAATATACTATACAAGACACTTTGGTTCAACTATTAAAATTTGTCTTTGAAAATTTTTTCGTCATAAATTCAAATTTGAAAATAATAATTTATTAATGAGTGTATTGTAGAGTGTGTTAAATCTAAGAATATACTGATTATTTTCCTAAAATAATCATGTAATATCAAGAGTGGATGCTTATGTTGTGTCAATTTTAAAAATGCTAATACTAAATACTCTCACATGATATTATAAAACTTCATTATAAAATAAAATTTTGCATGTATATGTTATTTTCCAAAATTTAAGTGATTGTTTGACATGTTTTTTTATAGATCTTTGATTTGGAAGTTAAGATAAAGTAGTGCAAAGCACACCCTTTGGTTTAGGCTTAGTCTAGTAGTGATGTGCTATCCTACACTGTGGTTATAGTTTAAGGTTTTTTTTTTTTTTTCATCTTTTATTATCTAAAAAATGTAAAATATTTTAATTAAAATTAATAAAAGTATATAAAAAAATAATAAATTTGATTAAGAATTATAAATTTATATATATTTTTTATAATATATGAGGATAATGTGAGGCATGTCATCCTTTCAAAAAAAAAAAAAATTTTAAAGACCTATTTAAAAACTTGCTTTTTAATTAATATTTTCAAGAATTGACCATTAGATTGAAAGTTTATTTATGCAAATTATGCATATCAATTTTTATATTACTCTAACACTTATAATATTTTGATAAAAAAAACTTTATTTATTGACATATATTTAATTGTGTTAAATTTCTTATAATCAATGAAGCAGTTGGCCTATTAAAACAATTTGAAAGTCAATATACAAAACCTATATTGATAGAATTTTCAATCCAATGGTTGGTTTTCAAAAATATTAATTAAAAGATAAGTTTCTAGACATATCCTCTAAAAAAATTAAGAGGACAACCTACAAAACATTTTCTCATAATATTTTGTGCGAAAAAAGATCTATGCAAAATATTGTCTAAATGAAGCCTTGGGTTTGTGTTCAGCCTCAATGGGAAATTAAAATAGAATATCTAACTATGTATCTTTACAACCCAAGAACTATGATATTGAAATCAATAGTAATATATTTAACTATTAGATATCAATTGCATCATTTAACCTATTAAAACGTCCTTCAAAGGATGTTCCAATGATTAAAAACTTGAATTTCCACATTAAAAAATCACAAGTTCATATTCTAGGATGGATGGAGAGCAATGGTGGAACTAGGATTCATTCTTGGGTAGAGCCTTTTCTGCCTTTGTGTTTTGCCTCATCATAATATAGCTTGAATAAAACAAATAATAAAAAATAACGTTAAGTGGTCACATAAGACATTATATATTCCTTTTTCTTCTCGATTTAGATTTCAAGGTAGTTTAAAAGCCGTTCACAAGCATATCAAAACTAATCTTTTCTCAAAAGATTTTAATTATGCACCTTATATTAACTTGATGTATCATAGAAATTTAAAAAATCTCAATTTGATGACCTACCAATAATATTGAAAATTCTTTCATCATATTTTTTCTTAATTTTTTACTCACATAAGAACGCAATTAGGTTAGGTATAAGAAAACTTGATTGTTTTTGAATTATTTGATTGAAGTGAAATAATATTGATACAATTCCAAATTATGAAAATTTTTACTTGTAGTGGAAATGAGCAAAATTTTTGCTAATGATCTAAGTAATTCAATAGTAATATCTTTCCAATAAAGTAAGAGATCTTGAGTTTAAGTCACATGTAGGTGAAGAAGGTTAAGGATGAGAGAAAATTGCCTCCTATTGTGCAACTCAAGATAAAAAAAAAAAAATGAAATTAGTAAAACTTATATATTTTTAGTGTTTAGAAAAGAAGTTACCTAAATTATTATTGTAAGATATTTATTGTATTCTTTTAATAATTAATTGTGCTATTTTAGGATATTATGTAATCATTTAAATATTCATTATATAATTTAAACTTTACTATTATTTAATCATGGAGTGAAGTATAGGGCTTAAAGTGAATAAAGTAGAAGTGGAGTGTTAAAAGAGGTTAGTTGTTAAAATTAAAAGGGTGTATAATTATCAAATGAATAGAGATTCAATTACACACAAATCTTACATACCACATTTATATCAAATCTTGACAATTCATCTTTTCACTTTCAATAATTGAGATTTATTTACTTTTATTAAAGATAATTATTTTTTTCATTTAAAAAGTTGTAATAAATCTTAATCATTGAAAGTGTAAAGATGAATAGTCAAGATTTTATATAAATATGATATGTAGGACTTATATGTAAATAAATTCCTCATCTTGTCAAATAAGTATAAAGAGTAGGCTTAGAAGTAAGCCCACTCTTATCTCCTTCCTCAACTCAATTTTAATTTGATGCTACACTTCTTTCTATTACTTTAAAATCAATACGTGTGTTTTATTTTCTTTCACCTACGGCCTAGATAGTTAAGCCTACTCTTTTTACTAAAATTTGTTAGGGCAAACATAGTTTTGCCACTAGTGAGAAAAGGCTCTTATTGTATAGTTTATCATCTGATATACCACAAAAAAATTTAACCTAATAAAACATTTGTCCATGTCGTTAATGAAACTATTATCTACTTGGTCAAAGTGATAGTTGGTGGCCTTTTCCAAAGAGAATTGAAATATTGATGTCAGTAGATCATATCATATAATTCCTCAATTACAATTATTCATTCTTTTCTTGTTTTTTAATTAATATATAAAATAGATTATAAATTACTCTTTAATTACTTGATTTTCCCTTAAGAAATCTGCCATGCATGTGGCCTACAGGCTACAGCTGTCACGAAAAAGAAAGTAAAATCCAAGAGAAACGACATAAAAATGCTTGTAAAAGGGAATAATCGTCATCCTAAGTCACATTCACTAGATTTGTTACCCACTTGCCTTGATTTAATTAATTTTCAATATTCATGGTATTTAATCAATAATATTAGAACACATTAATTATATTTCCAAAAAGAAGAGGACTGATTGGTTGGTTTGTTATATTTCTTGAATGGTAAATGCTGGACTTTATGTAGATTTTAACAGTCCCAATTACTAGAAACTAAAATTTTAGGATACGTTTGGTTTTAGGAAAATGGATGAAGTGATATATTTAAAGAGATTAATCTCTTTAAGTGATGATCTTAATACTTAAATTCTACCTGCGAGAGAAGATGAGAGGAAGAGAGCTTGAGTGTCGAAGACAAAGAGGCAGATTGGCATGGAAAACAGTAAGAAGACAGGAGTTAAGGTACCACCAAGGCTTAGGCCATTGGTAGCCATCAGTGTTCATAAGAAGGCATCAGCAAAGGGGCTAGAGAAAAGACTTTAGGGATATGATTAGAGAGTTTTAAGTCAAGCTACTGCCTTTTACTTCTCAAACGTTCCTACTAATTAAAGCCATATGGATATGTGGAAAACATTCATCAAATATGGCAAGGCCTATGCCATTTATGTTCCTAATAGAAGGAGTATAGTTGGTGCCAAATTCAGATTTGTCAAGTTTTTGGAAGTTGCAGATGAAAGGAGTTTGGAATGCCAGCTTGATCAAATACAAATTAGCAATCAAAAGCATCATGTAAACATACCGAGGTTCAGCAAAAGGGATAGTGATTTTCGCCAAGAATATACAAGGATAGTTATCTCCCTTAGGAAAAACAAAACCTATGTTAAGGTGTTAAAAGGCACAAGCAAGAGAGGGATGATGTTAGAGACCAATGAAAGAAAACAAAAACAGC